GTGGCCACTGTACTCCAGTCTAGGCAACAGAGTGAGACTCCAACTAAAAAAAAAAAAAAAAAAAAGACCTTCCCTTTCTTTCCAGACTCGCTTGATTCTAACAGTTGCTAACTTGGAATTAGAGTTTCTTGGATTAACAGTGTTTTTGAAAAACAATAAAAACAGAACCTCAGTATATAATAAAAGTACCTCTTTCGTAGGATGGCACCGAGCATTATGAAAAGCCTGATGGATCACACCATTCCTGAGGTTTAAAGTCACAGAACAATGGAAGCATAGATGACTTTCTCCAGTCTCCTTCCATGGCAACTTCTGTATTATGCACATGAAGCTTTCCCGGAGCCAGCGAGCATATGCTGCATGAGGACCTTTCTATTTTACACTATGGCTGGGAGTCTTACTCTTTCATCTGATACCTTGTTCAGATTTCAAGATAGTGGTAGCCTTATCCTGGTTTTACAGATGTGAAACTTTCAAGAGATTCACTGACTTTCCTAGAATAGTTTCTCTACTGGAAACCTGATGCTTTTATAAGCCATTGTAATTAGGATGACTGATACAAGCTTAGCTTTGTGTGAGAACCAGTCACCTTCTCCTAGGTAATGAGTAGTGCTGTTCATATTACTTTAGTTCTATGGTATATATATGCATTTTTAACATGTCATCATAGTACATTTGGAATGATTGCCTTTAATAGATTTTTTTCATTAGTTCTGTTTGTGTCTGTGTGTGTAAAACACCAACTAAGAACACTGGTTTCATTCCATGTAAGCATTATAACAGTGTAGTAAGTTGCAAGAGATTGTGATGATTGTCATTAAATTTTAACTACCTTCACTTAATATGCTTGAACTGTCGCCTTAACTATGTTAAGCATCTAGACTGAAAGCCAAAATATAATTATTGCTGCCTTTCTAAATCCCAAAATGTAGGTCTGTATAAAACTGAAATGTACACTAGCCTAGAACAGTTTAATGGTACCTCCTGAGCTATAGCATAGCTGCTTCATTGTATTTGAGATTTTCTAGTCAATGTATAACGGAACCCTCTTTCTTCTAAAAGTTGCCAGTATCACTTTCTGAGAAATGAATCTCTATATATTTAACACAAAAATTATTAAACATGATAAACTTTGACTCCTTTTATTCAACCTGTGTATTAAGTGGTATAATCCTTAATCTTGGCATTTGAATCCTAACATTATGTAACCCCTCTAATTTGGGATGGCTTCAGAATATCTTCCTGGTAATTTGTTCCATTTCTTGACTCCTCCCTGCAAACAAAATGGCAGTGACACATTAATCTGTTTTTTTCTCTTTTTGATTTATGCCTATTCTATTTTAATTAAATATATATAAATAAATAAAGTTAAATTTTAGTCTTTTATTGCATCATTTGGAAACGGTATCAGTGGCTTGCACCACGCTTGCATATGAGCTAGAAGACAAGCATGTGAAATTTACTTCCAGTCATGTGAGACAGTTATTTCCCAGAGCAAGTGACATCCAGGGCCCCTGAGAACAGCCCTCTGTGCTGAAAGACTGTGAGCGTCAAGAAAACTGCTGGGAACCCCAGATGGCCAGGCCTGAGGGAGCTGGTTTCCACCTGTGCACCTGCCACACAGCAGAAACTCACTGAAGTTTCTGATTGACCATAGCAACACTGGAGACTATAATATTTAATATTTAATAACACTTAAAACTGACTTTGAAAATTCTATTACCATGGTCTGACTCAAGTTTTTTCTCCTATTTTATGTGTTCTCCTATTTTATGCTGCCTACAAGATACAACAATGTGTTTAAAAAATTTAAGTCACATGATTACTGTGGTTCAGAGGTTGAATATAAAAGATAATCAGTGCCACTGCTATACAGCTTACCTTGTTTGAAATTTAGAAAAGCAAATCAAAACACTTCCCAGTTTGATTACCTTGCTGTCAACTTGGGTCTGCAGATAGTTTCAAAAGTAATGGAACTATATTCATATTACTATGTCTTTCTAGAAGAATCAATACATATGGTCTTAAAAAGCAATTAGTCTTTGTAATAAATTATTTAAATAACAAAATGAAAACTTTCTTTACAGAAAAATATTTTTAATGTAGAAAAGATGAGCATTTAATAGCTACAATGAAATACAGCCCGTTCCTATATACAGTAAGTTTACTGTTATAAGAACTGTTAACCCTTCCCCAGGTTCTTAGAATCTGGGTACAGCATCATAGAGAGTCACCACTCCATGAAAACACACACCCAAAACCCAGTGGGTGGCAGTTGTAGTAGAAGAGGAAGACAACACAGTGACTCAGTAGTAGTAGAGAATTCCATACGTTTTCTTAGAAAATTCTCAGTTCTGACAAGTTTCCCCCTCCCCCTTTAGTATCTCTTAGCTATTCTCTGCTACAGAGTCTGTCTTCGTACCATTCTACTGGGATGGTCTCTGTATTCCAAATGTCATGTTTTCTTCCTAACACTGCCATATTTTGTCTGCCTTAAGAGAGTGGCAACTAATGACTTACAATGAAGTAGTCATGATTTAGAAAGTTTTAAACCACATGTTATCCATGTGGTAAAACTTCTACTTACTATCGTTGCACATTTACCAGTTCGTTTAAAAGTTTGGTGTAAAAATACATTAAATAGAGTTCAATTTAATATCCACGAGAGAAAAGGCACTTAATACTGTAATCTCCAGAACATAATTTGTCTGTCTTCCCCTCCTGTGATGACACTGCTACACTGCTCGTTCATCCACATACACGTCACAGCACCTGAAAGAGACATTTTGGTTAGGCAGGAGGTTGACAGACGGCACCCAAAGATGTGCTTTAATGCTACTCTTGCTCGTTATTCGTTTATTAAAGAAGTGAAGTGAGTACTACTTTTTCTGTAATGAAATCTTTATAAATTTAAAATGCCTGCTTGGAACAAAGAGCCTGTGAAGAATAAGAAACCATTTAAATGTGAACCTAAAGCTAAAACAACTGGGAATTACAGCTGCACACCAGAATGCAAATATATACCTTGGTAAACGGGTGTAATACGACAAAAGTCGCAGATGGGAGGGGAACAGGGGAGGACTGCTGGAAGCTTGCTGATTTATTCCCTTTTCCATTGGAAGGGGTCAAATAAAATTTAAAACTACTAAGTTGAGAAAGTCATAAGGAATTTTTAAGGTATAAGTTTAAGAAAAGATAACCATACGGAACAGTGACACATGGAAGAGAAAGGTGGGAAGTAAGTAACAGAGACGACCCTAGAAGAGTTAAAAACCAGGTCCTCCAGCTGATTAGGAGGAAAGCGTGAAGATGTAAGCAAATCTAGTGACTCTCCACGAGATATTACTAAAAAAAAAAAAGGCAAGACCAGAACAGTTTTCTCTCATATTGTGCAGTTTTATACATGTACACCTTCTCATTAAAGGAAGACACATGCACAGGACAACAGGCTGGTAAAGTTCTGTAAGGAGGAGTTGGCAGTGGGAGGAAGCCTTAACTCATTGTAATTCATTATTTGTGTATTGCTTCTGTTTCTGGTTCTTCGTTTTTTTTTAAACCGTATTATCTTTTAACTCAAACTCACAGTTTTACAATACTTTTTAATTCTCCATATGAGAGTTAAGAATTCTCTGTTAACATAAATCAATCCCTAGTGACCTAAGAGAGACAGATCACCTGGCCAACCCTGATGCTCAAGGGAAATGTTTATGCCATGGAGTGTTTTCTGCCGAAGAAGTGTGTCTTCCCTGATGGTAAGGCAGGTTTGAGTTCAATGTCTTAGGAACAAAGATCGTGACAAGGTCCAGTTGCTGCTTACCTGTGTGGCCCTGTATTCTCTCACTGATTTTTGCTCCAAGGAGGTCCCAGACGAGCAGTTCACCCGACTGACTTCCAGATAAAACGGAATTTCCATCCCAGATAAAGCACCTACAAGAATGATTTAGAAATAATCATTTCATCATCATGACGAAAGGAGTGTGTGACACTGGCTGATGTAAGCCCAGATGATGTGATCATGAATGTGTGTGTAAACGTCGTCACCATTAGTGACTCACAAACTGTACCTCTGGGGTTCGTCTGATGTCAGAGAGGAGATGAGCATCCCTGTTTGCACATCAATGACGTTGAGACAGCCATCTCCTCCTGTGCTGACGACATGGCGACTGTCTGGAAAACAAGGTGAGACTCAGATACGTGTGCCCGCTCCAGAGTGTGGTTTAGATTATTCTGGATTTTATTTCTGAATCCAGTGGCCTAATCTCTACATTCCTTTGCTTGAAATCCTTGTCCTTAAGCCATGACTATTCTCTCCTTGAAATGCTTCTGTTTCTAAGGCACTGGGATGAGATGACCCTTTGATATGAGATCATTTGTAGCTTAAAAACTTCTCTCATGAGTTGAGGAATTAGGTAACATATCCAATCTTGCTTTTCTACTTGGGACAAATGCCACAGGTAGACTCTATCCTGGCATAAAGCAGCCTTAGCTAATAGGCAAGACCACTCTCTCAGCAAATACTGTTTTTCTTTGTAAATTTTATCTTTTCAAAATGAGTACTATTGTTTATTTCAGAAATCCAGTTTAGCTGGCATCATCTGTAGTAAAAAGGATAATACCTACCTGGGCTAAAAGCAGTGTCACATACAGTCCCTGAATGGCATGGAATTTGGTGCATTAAAGTGGCCGTGGTGAGGTCCCAAATATTCACCGAGCCTTCTTTGGTGCCGGAAACTAACAGTGTGCTTGCAGCATTTAAATTAATTGTATCTACCTAAGGAAGAAAACACATGGATAAATACTTTATTCAGATCTATGGTCATGAGCTTGTGTCTTTAAGCTGACTCAAATATGTGGTGACAATGACATAGGTGAGACACTATTGTGCAGCGTGCTGGCGTGGCGAATGCAGATGTATTTCAACATCATCCTATTTGATAATCTGCTTAAAAAAATGAAATGAAATGTTTCATATGCTAGTGAATACAAGTAGGAGTGAAAATGAAGTATTGCTTGGGCACAGGCAGTGCCATTTTAAAACAGCTTAAACACTGTCAGTCTCAGAAAGATGGCTCCTTGAATAATAAATTATAGCGAGGCACCAAACTGCACAGCTGATCCACGATTATTTGAGGGGGCTGTGGGGGGGAGCTCTTAAGGTGCTTGCTTAGCATTGGGAATTACATACTAAAGATTTCCAAGCACAGTTAATTTGAGGACTATGAAAATTAATTTGAGGACTATGAAAATTAGGCACCAATTCACAACCTTAGAGAAAAGATAGTACTGTAATCTACAGCATGAGATGCAGCAATGTGACCAGTGAAAACAGAATGAACAAGTGCCATCTGGGTTCTGCCACCGGGCTGTATGAACTTGGCCATCCCAGGCAGAAGGTCACTGTCTCCAACCATTGGAGAGGCTTCTCCTGGACAGATGGCCCCTTCTTCCAGGTCGGAAAACATGAAAGATCACGGATTCTCTCTTACTGTCCCAAAGAGTTGGACAGAACCCAAATATTCAATTTCTGCTCAGAACTTAATATTTTGGGTATCTAGTTAGAAGGTAGTAAAGTCTCAGGGAAATGTGCAAAGAAGTAAACTGGAAGGAAAACACATAAAATAGACATGGAAACCTAGAGTCAATCCCCCCCAAAAGAACTTAGATTTAGCCTATAATCTCTCCCAATACACCAAACAAAACAAAGCAAAAAGAACAGAAACAAAAACCAAGAACCTCCTTTCCTCACAACTCCCGGACTTGTAAGCCTAGCTTCCTTTAAGCGCAGTGCTGTTGCTGGTACTCACACTGACATCATGTTCCAGCTCGGCCAGCAAGTCAAAGTGGTGTCTTTTGGTGCTTGGCATCTCTGCAGGAACACCAGACCAAACCTATGATGGAACATGTTGCAGAAAGCGCTTTCAACTTTTTACTGGAAAACCATTTCTAAAATGTGTTCAGGAAAAACTCTCTTATTCTGTTTCCATGTAACATACTTCCCAATAAAGCTGAGCTGAGTGATGCGCCTTCCCAACGCCTTTTCTCCCAGCAACATGTTCTTTTGCTTAGAGTTACTTATTTGTACCTGTGTCTGTTTCCACCACTTGCTCTTGCTGCTGTCATCGTGGAATTTTAAGTAGTGTGCACATGAAGGAAATATGAGTGCAGAAGTGTTTGAGGACTGTGAGCCCAAAAAGTATTAAAATTAGGGATAGGCAAGTAAACTTAGCTAAAAGAATAGAAGAAGCACTCCGGAAGAAATTCTGCAACTTTAAGTTCTGGCTGTCTTTTATATAAACACAAATTGCAAACTGAAAATGATAAATGCCAGTGTGGCTGATGTAGGATTCCAAAGAAAAGGCTGAGCATAGTCCTATATCAAAAAAGAATGGTGAGATAATGTGCATTTAGATATTTTAAGTTTAAATATGTGTCATCTTTTAGTGATTCTTCACATTAACTTGAAATTTACTGATTAACAGACGAACTGACATTTTCAATCATGTCAGATAAGAGAGGCTGCTACTGTACATTTCTGTATCAAACGGATACTAGACTATTCAACCCTAGTTGAACAGTGAAGAAATTATGATAAACTTCCTATTAAGTGTATAATTTAAAAAAAAGCAGGCAAGAATTCAGTCTCCTTATGTGTATCACTTAGACACTTTGTGAAAAAGAGCGAAGTCGTTGAACAGCGAAGTACTTGAATAGTTTACAATATTTGTACGCCCAAACATTTCAAGTTAAAGATTATATATAAACCTTCACTGTAGAGTCCCACGATGCAGAATATAACCTGTTGTCATGCCAACAGATCTTACTAACAGCATCATCGTGTCCCATTAATGTGTCTTGGCGTCTTCCAAATGCTATGGAATAAAAATAGCTAAAAAATAATGAGAAGTATTTAAACAGTATTCCAGCTTAATTGTAAGACTCTTAAACACATATACAAGAAACATTATACTGTTTAATTCTATACTTATGCCTACAGATTGGGAAAAAATATTTTCTAACTGTATGTCTGACAAAGGCCTAACATCCTGAATTTACAAGGAACTCAAATGTGCCAAAAGGAAAAAAACAAACAGCCATATTAAAAAATGAGCAAAAGACATGAATGGACACTTCTCAAAAGAAGACATACGAACAACCAACAGATGAAAAAAATGCTCAGTGTCACTAGTCATCAAAGAAATACAAATTAAAACCAAATTTAGATATCACCTAACTCCAGTCAGGATAGCCATCATTAATAACTCAAAAGGCCAGGGACAATGGCTCACACCTATAATCCCAGCACTTTGGGAGGCTGAGGTGAGACAATTGCCTGAGCTCATGGGTTTGAGACCAGCCTGGGCAACTTGGTGAGACCTCATCTCTACAATAAATAAAAAAATTAGCTGGGCGTGTTGGCGTATGCCTGTAGTTCCAGCTACCTGGAAGGTTGAGGCGGAAAGATTGCCCGAGCCCAGCGGGTTGAGGCTGTGGTGACTGGGAGCATGCCACTGCCCTCCAGCCTGGGTGACAGAGTGAGATTTCAACTCAAAAAAAGAAAAAAGAAAAAAAAAAAGCAACAGATGCTGGAGAGGATGAGGAGAAAAGAGAACACTTCTACACTGTTGGTGGGAGTGTAAATTAATACAACCTCTGTGGAAAACAGTGTGGTGATTTCTAAAAGATCTAAAAATTGACCTACCATATGACCCAGCAATCCCCTTTCTGGGAATATACCCAGAAGAACTCAAATCATTCTACAAAAAAGAATGATTTGTGTGCTTTACTGCAGTGCTATTTACAATAGCAAAAACATGGAACCAACCATGCTGCCTATTGAAAGTGGACTGGACAAAAAAAAAAAAAATGTGATACATATACACAATGGAATATTACGTAGCCAGAAAAAAGGACAAAATTATGGACTTAACAGCAACTTGGATGGATTTAGAGTCTATCATACTCAGTGATCTATCACAGAAACAAAAGGCCTGAGTACCACTTGTTCTTACTCATAAGTGGACCCTGAACATTACCCTAATACTACAAGAGAGGAATTGGCAGTGGCCAGGGGAGGGGGATGGGCACATGACATCAATAAGAGTACCTGATCTTAAAGCAGGTGAAATGAGGACCAATGGGAGGCCCAAACTTCATCTGTACGTAGACCACTTACATACCTAATCCTGACTTGTACTTCACATCTTTAAAATAAAAAATAAAAATTCTATACTTACTAAGGCCCATTATGGCTGCCAATTGCTTGTTCTAATATTCTTAAACCAAAATATTCAAAATTTGAATTTAAAAATAGAAATGTTCAAGTGGGGCTCATTTGTGTTTTCACCTCAATTTAAAACTTAGAAATAGGTTCCAGTTGGAGATGCTATTAGATCCGAATAACCATATCCAAATCAAACAATATGGCCTCCTCTCCCATATTTGGTCCCTTTATAAAACAACACAGCATCCCGCCAGTGGCAGAGGGTGTCCTTTCACACCACACCTCCACCGGGGCAGCTATGCTCAATGTGGAATGATTCAGGACAAACACAGATACATACACATTATTATCCCATGAAGAACTTATGACAGTGGCATCTCCTGGTAACAGTAAACAAGATGATAAAGCCTGAAATACAAAGGATCTGACATCAACAATTTATAACAATCAGTAAAATCCTTAACACAGTAAAATTCTAGGTTCTCCCAAAACTGAATGCTCAAATTCTTTTTATGGTGGCTCTCCACCTATTTCCATAGGTTTTCTAACTGGCTAATTGCAGCCGTGGGGTTTCCCCCCCAAATGCAGGAGGGAATGTACAGATGTGTCCAGCATACTGCAATCTAGCCTGACAACTCACAGGGCTCCAGGTGGCCCTCGCTGCCCTGGATTGTAGAAATCCTATTAACGCTGTGGAGTAAATCATAGGGGGAGGGCAGGCTGTGGACGATCTTCAAGAATGAAAATGTGCTCTCAGGATTATACGCTCACGTGGGCCAGAAAAACTTCCAAGTTTCTTTAGGGAATTTCAAAATCTTTTGGGTGATTTATGTTAAAAATAAAATGTGTTCTTTCAGAAGAATTGGTTTGGTTGTATTAGGTATCCTACAAACTCAGAATCATCCAAATTATTTAAGGAGCACATAAACATGCAGCTTGACGTTTTTTTTAAAAAAGAAAGACATATTAAGTAGACTAGAAATAGCTAAATAGCCAAATTCTTTTTTTTTTTTTTTAGGATAGCTAAATTCTAATGTACCATCAAAATACAGTTACAAATCAACTAATTGCTGTAGGGGTTTTGATAATGGTGATAATGTAAGAGCATATTAACAATATATGAGTTAGATTTCAAGCTAAATTCTGGATAGTTCTTCAAGTATTTTCATTTAAAAATGAAATCACAACAGAATGAAAGGCATCCCCAAAACAATTTTAAATTGAATTTAGAAGTAATCTAACTAAAGTATTCAGCAGATACCACACAGAAATAAGCTCTATTGTTTCAGGAGAAATGAAATATTATGTGTACGTATATAAAACAAACTATACATTTCTATAATAACACTAATAAAATGAACTCACCATATTTGAAAATGATACACTTCTTTGTAGCATTTTGGACTCTTTAGAAAACATCTTCAAGGTGGAATCTAATTTAATAATGAGAAAGCAGACATATAAAAAAGATTTCCTAACCATTACAGCTGTCACAGACTGGCTAAATGATTGAAGGCCTCATCTAACATTAAGAATCCATGATCTGTTACTCTGTGACAAAGACTCAATTTAAAAGCAGAAACATAGTAAGCTGTTGACATTTTAGCATGATTGAAGGTAGAGGTAAGCCTAATAAGTGATATAAGCTAAAAGTTACAGAGTAGGAAAAATAGCAATTTTAGTACTAATATTAAAATAAACAATTTTCAAATTAAAGGAAACAAAATGATCTTGGCAATATAAATTTGTTTTAAACAAATGGCCCAACTATGGTGTGATAATACCCTTGTACTGAATTAGTATCTATAGAAAAGAACAAATAAAGTAGAAATTGGTAATCCGAGTTTTTGATTTCCTTGAGTAACAGAAGCTTTGAAAGTTTACCAAAACAGTTGAGTGTGGTGGCTCATGCCTGTAATCCCAGCACTTTGGAAGGCAGAGGTGAGAGGACCGCCTGAGCCCAGGGGTTTGAGGCCAGTCTGGGCAACTTGGCGAGACCCTGTCTCTACAATAAACAAAAAAATTAGCAGGGTTTGGTTGTGCGTGCCTGTGTTTCCCGCTACTTGGAAGATTGAGGCGGAAGGATCGCCTGAGCCCAGCAGGTGGAGGTTGTGGTGGCCGTGAGCATGCCGCTGCACTCCAGCCTGGTCAACAAAGTGAGACTTTGACTCAAAAAAAAAAAAAGTTCACCAAAACAATCTCTTAAGAGCCAAGACCCACAAATTACAATGGCTTAATGTGCCTCAAACATCCCATATCTGAGATATAAAACAATCCATTTTCTAACTTGTAAATATACAGCATGATAAATAAAATGTCAGAATGAGCTTTAAGTAATTTCTTCTAGAGGAAAATTCAATAATTCAATTTAATTTTTGCAACCCCAATACACCGAAGCCCTGAGAATTTATAAACATGAACATCAGTTAGATATTCTTTAGCATTAATTTGAAACAAGACAAACACAGTATCACCTGTACTTTACCCTGAGTGGAATAATTAGCTCTGATAGTCTTGCCAACCTTGCTTTTGATTCTCTTAGGCAATTGTGAGTGTTCACCACAAAATCTATTTAAGATGATTAATTTGGGGTACCCTACAGAAAACCATAAGCCAACCAGGTGTGTGAAGATGTATCCCTCCCTAAATGTCTAGCAGTTAGAATTCAGCACTCTCACCACAGCAGCTTGTGCTCATTTCCCTGTTGGGAAACCCCAAAAGTAAAATAATAAAAGAAAAAAAAAGGATGTTTTTCTTGAAATCAAAGATCCCCTCCCTGTACAAAAGGTATTCATGTTAATGATTTCAATAAAAGTTAATCTCATTGGCAGTGGGTCCTGTGAATGCCCACATACCTAAAGACACTGCATACTGGAGAAAGAAATGTAATCCTGGGGTGACCATCAGGATACATATAAACCGGTAATACAAACTATGAAAATCCAAATGTGAGAAGAAACAAGTAGAAAAAACAAAAGCTTCTGACTTTTTAAAAACATGCCCCTTTATTAGGTAAATCCACAAAGAAGTGATACAATACTTAATAAGCCTCAGAGGTTTGAAACCCTGATGCTCATAAAATTCACGGTTCACAAGGTTATACAAGTACAATGAGCTGAAGGATTTAACAAGCCATGCCAGACAAATCCAGCTAAGAACACAGGCTTTGCTTTAAAGAGAAAGTATTCTGTCTGGTGCTGTAATGTTGGCAGATGTGGATTGCTACTTTCTATCAGAGAAGCACCTTGGTGACTCCGGTATGGCCAGTATGGATACTGCATGTGAACTTCCTTTTGATCTATGAAGAATCATTTTCTATGCTTTGTGGAAAATTCTGTTTTATACTATCTGAGACAGTATTTAAAAGAGAGGAATGAAATATCACAGATAAACCATGATAGCAGAATCTGAGAGTAGGAACTCTGATTTACCTGAATGTGTTTAGCTGCATAGTACCTTTTTTTTAAAACTTTTTTTCTTTTAAGAGACGGAGTCTAGCTATGTGGTCCAGGCTGGACTTGAGTTCTTGGCCCCAAGCAATCCTCCTGCCTTGGCCTCCCAAAGTGCTGGGACTACAAACATGAGCCACCACACCCAGCCAAGTACCTTTTCTTAATGAATGAAAAGTGTAATTTCTTATGATAAAGAGTAAAGAACGGGTAGCCTTATTTTAAAAAGTTACAAACTGTCAGAACGAGTTGTCTTCTATTGGAAGCTATTCACCTCTATATCTCCCAGAGTGTCCACACTGCTCAGAACATAACAGAGAGGAGATATAATAAGATATACTTTAATAAATTATATATTACTCAGACTATCAGGGAGACCAATGGTGTGTATAGTAAGAGATGACTTTTGCCTTTTTTTTTTTTAAAGATTAAGATAGCCAAATTCTTTTTTTTTTAGGATAGCCAAATTCTAATGTACCATCAAAATACAGTTACAAATCAACTACTTATTGCAGGGATTTTTATAATGGTGATAATGTATAAGCACATTATCATATATGTGATAAAATATATGAGTTAGATTTCAAGCTAAATCCTACGACAAACACCCTGAAGAAATATACACTCAATGACAAAACCGAAAACCCTAACAACACATCTTCATCTCTACGTGCTGACACGCACATGCCTCTATTTGACACAACATGTGCTACTTGCAACACACCCCACCCAACAAGTGAGCATGGCCTCTCCTCATGAAGGCTGGAAAAGGCCTCAGCAAGAAAGAACATGGAAAGAGACTCTTTCTACCCTCAATTCTGGGATACACTATCAGCAACAAAAAGGCATTTCATTACTGTTTTTGCCAAATTACTACAAATCTTTATGTAACATACCACAGAGAAACTGCTCTCTATTTTATATGGAGTCATAACATGCAAGTACAGTCCTCGACCAGGAGCTAAGAAACTCAGATATATTAAACCATTTTCCAGGTAGGAAAACATACCTTGTGATGTTGTAAAGACTGCAGACCCATTGCGAGAGACTGCAATTCCAGTAACTGCCCTGTTCAAAAAACAGTTCATAAGTTACTATTAGTCATGTTTCCAGTCTTTGATTTAATCTTACCACACGTTTCCTTAATTTGTTTTCTCCACAGCATGTCTGCTGGATCTGTCCCAACATACACTTGCCGTTACCAAATCATCGTTTGGCACTCTCTAATGTTGCTCTGGTAATATCTGTGGCTAGAAAACACCTCCACTCTTTCCCTAGCTTCCATATTCACTGTTTAACATATTTCTGACCATTTCTGACCATTAGAAAATGCTTCTTCTTCAGTTCCACCTTATCTGCCCATCACCGAAAGACAGAAACTCTTCTCTGCAGTCACTTCACTTGCTTCATTACTGAATCTCAGTTACTTAGTGTCTGCTTCATCATGAGACAGTTGTCTTGTTGTAGCATGTCCCCTTAAGGATTCATTCATGTCGTCACTGCCTTGGATAACAAGGTCCCCTTCTATGTGCCGTTTAGAGAAGTTGAGAAAATAAAAACCATTGTTATAACTAATAAAACAGAATTATTTGCTTCTCTTTGGGAGGCTGAACTCGGATTTGGAGCCATCCATCTAAAGGAGATCAGTACATTCAGGTTCCCCCCATGACCAAAATGCCAGACAAGTTGTCTGTGACCATGGAGCAGGACGTGAGGTCTAGCCTCCAGGCCTGGGTTTTCTTTCTGTAGCAGGAGGAGCCAGGCTAGGTCATTATTTCTCAAGTGGAACATGTGAACGTCCTTAATGGCTGAGGACAGGGAACACATATCCCCTCTGGGTCCAACAGCAAGTTAAATTTTTTTGAAGTATAGGTATTATTTTTCAAATGAATGTGAACTTTGCAATGCTCACTCTCTCTCTCTCTCTGTCTTCATATATATATGTGTTTGTGTATTATTATATATACATGTATCTACACACATACGTTTGTTTAAGATGCATATTCCCCTGTGTTATCAATAAAGTCAACACTTGTGGAGGATACACCATGCTTCTCCTATCAAAGACTCAAGGGGTTGGGTTCCCTAATTTGAGAGGCACAAAACTACCTGTTGTCTGCAGACTCCATCTCATACTCTAGAATGACAGACTGCAGAAATGACAGCATGTGGCCACCACAAAGCATTTTATGCCAAATTTTCCCTTACATCGACCTCAAGTAGCAGATCACTGTAAATATTTTGGGGGGATTAAAAACAATCAGACAACATTAAAAGGGAACTTTCTGCCTTGACTCAGCTTAAAATAGTTTAACTCCATGCCAAGACCCTAATTATCTCAAGGACTGTTAGCCGCTGGGAAGAAGCAAGGAGACATTCTTACTCTTTGTGGATTTTATAGTGCTCATGTAACTGCAGCTTGGTGATGTTACTCCAGGCCAGTGTTTTGCTTTCTTCAGTCAGGTCTTCAAAAGACTCTTCACCTGGAGAGATCGCATTAATTCATTTCTAAGTCAGTTTAATTACTAACACAACAGCATCAGATTCACAATATTTTCTACTAAAATCAAACAACCAAGAAAAAAAATACCCACAAAAATATAACTACTTTGAAATATACTTGTTAGATAGTTCCATGTTAGTCAAAGAAAACATTATGTAGAGAAAGACAAAAAAACCTTGGGATAATGATATAATCTTTTAAAACCTTTATCAACATTTGCAGAGTTTTCAATTGGCCTCTAGCTTATGAATTTCAGGAAATACAAGAGTGAGTAGCCATTTCCTTGTCAGCATTCTTTTCAAAAACCAGACAGTTGCCTAAGAATGCTGCAGTTTTGTTTTGGTTTGAGGTGGAGAAAGCAAAGATGAAATCAATTACTGCAAGTGCTCTGGGCAGGAGTAATCCCTTCACTTCTGCTTTAAGAAGGGCTGGAACAATTACCCTCTTAAAGCAATCACATGACAGAGGTTAAGGCCTGGTGACTAAGCAGAGCACAGCTTGAAATGGCATCACAAGATAATCCTGTGATCTTTATGATTTAACCCTCTGAAGCATTATCTCTTAAAGAAGTACTCCCTGCTACCCCTGGGTCATATAAATCCAGCTAGCTATTTCTCTATGCCTGAGAGCATGCTCAGCTGTGTGTGCCTTAGAAGCTTGGGTGTGCTTGGAACAGACTGTGAAAATGGAAGTCAAAAGTGACTTTGCTCTCGGGGCTCTGTACACTGTTAAATTCCATCTGGGAGCCTGCGGGTTTGAGGTTGTCTTATGTGACATGTAAAACATGCACAACTGGATAAAGGTTTCCAAATATGTGTGTGAGAACTGGGTCAAGTTCATCTTAGCACCTAGCATGTGCCCAGCACAGAACAGATACCCTTTAAGTGTTTGTCAAATATTAAGTAAGAAAACAAAATCCAGTAAAGGAAACAAAGCACTCTGAATTCAAGATCTGTATGTGGGCATGAAAGAGGAGAATTTGGGACAGAAGAAGTCATTTCTGGGACTAACAGTGACTGGGAAGGTAGCTGTGGCCAGGACAACAAACACAAAAAGGCAAATAGCTAAGAATCAAACACCAGCTTGGAAAACTAGAGAAAAGAAAGAACCATATCAAAACAAATATGTGTGGTCAAGTCCCACCCATAATGCAATTGCCAGAAAATAAAAGGGTTTGATTCCCTTGAAGCCAATAGCTAAAAACAACACCACCAACAAAAACAGGTATTTGTTTTCAGGAAAATTGCAACAGGACTGGAAAACACAATCATCTGTAAGCACCATAACATCTCGTGTTTCATCTGCCCTTCAGAATCTTCAGAAACATCCTCATCGCAAAAGAGAAGCAAGAGGTGCTCACATTTATTCTCTTTACAAATTTACCTGGGGAATCTGCTATAAAGGCATTATAACTGGAGGTCTGGGACAAACTTTTAAACTTCGGGGTGATCCTTCGAGGATGAGGTGTCACAAACAGCTGCTTTGGTGTCTGCCCAAATTCTAAGATTTGCGTCAGCATGGCTACTTTCTCATCAGGATCCTCGATGCTTTAGGGCAGAATACAAATAATACAGTGAACCTGAGGAGGTTCATGGTCTTTGTAAAGCACACAATTCCCACGATGCAGATCAACGGGAACGATTAACCCACATACAAAAATAGTTATGTGCCAAGGCTGTCTAACCCTCATCATAGATCCTTGGAGTCTTTTCTGAAGCTCAGTAACATTAAAGTAAAAGCAAGATATAATCCCTTTTAAAATTCCCATACCTTAACAATCTCAAGCAACTGCAATAATGATTTAGATAATGAGGTTTTTATAACTCAAGTAGCAATTCCTTATAGGCATATAAGTACCTGTTCAAGTCGACACCTCCTTCATAGGTCAAGGGATGAAATACTGGAAGAGAGATATAAAACACTATTGAAAAATGTACTATTTAGGTACAATACACTCCCTGTTCAGAACATAACTCAACACTTAAAACCGATGATCAAAGAAATTGATATTCACTTTGCAAAACAGACTAATATTGAACTTCAGTAAGTACCAACTTAAATTATGATCTTTTGATGAACAAAAGTCTACTTGGCAGGTTACAAACAGGACCTGTTATCTCTTTGTATTTCCCAGTCAGGATTATTTGCTCCTGAGAGAGAGCAAGAGTCAGAGTATTGCACTGCCAGGTGAAACACCAAATTTCTAGCTCCAGTTCCTTGTTGTCAACATGAGAAACTCGGAGGTAGGTAAGCAATGAAACTGAGGAGTATCCTGCTACTGTTTCCTTTCTGTTCAATTAAAGAAATTCTGGGCCTTTCATAGGAATGGAGGCCACGGTTCTATCATACTGTGAGTTGTAATTGAAGTTACTGAATGGAATGGAGAGTATATGCTAAAATCAGAAGGCTTTTTAAAAAGACCCTTGGGATCACAGTGAGGTAGGTGTTATTTGGGCAAAAGTCTTTCCTCCTCAGTTATTCAGCATCTAATCTGACTGGGGTCACAGAGCCAGGGGACACTGTGTTCTGATATAAGATGCATCTGCTGAAGAAATAAGCTTAACTGCTTTGATCTCATTTTTAAAAAAACTTTTTGCTTTCATTTTCACCCAACGCTAAACGAAATTTTAGTGAATGTTACATACCATTATGGGCTCCAACAGCATCACTCCCTTTTTGCTTGTAGCCAAATATTAGATCAATCCATTCATGAAGGTGCTCAGACACATAATTGCTTTCCAGTGCATCTTTGCTCTTCTGGAGAAAGTCCTCGGGACCTATCAGATTAGACTCAATCAGAAAAACCACAATGTCTCCATTTTATTTTCCCCCTTTTTTTTGTCTAGCTATATGTAGATAAAGATTCTAGGACAGGCAAGAGGTACATAATTCTTAACAAGAATTTCTTTTTTCATCAGATGAAACACGTTTTTTGGGGAATAAAGTGTCAGGAGTCACTCTCACAACATTAATATCTCTCAAATACATATTAATGATTTTATATCATAGACCCATAGAATGCTTCAATTTGGAAAAGACGGCTATCACTTCATTTAGACAGAGTATTATACTGCTATTTGTAAAAATTCAAGCAACAAAGTAAGTACTGAAACTGCACTTGCACTACTCAGTAAAGAATGTCTGTAATACAATCGCTCCAAGGTGCTACTTACTTGAGGACCAAGGGGGAAGTTCCACATCATCAACCATCTGTCCTCCTTGTCTCTTTCCCAAATCCAACTTCAGACTATTGACTAAAAAGCTGACATCATCACCATAGAATTCTGGAGTCAACTGAAAGTTTAAGGAAGGGGAAAAAAAAAAAAAGAACAGCAACAAACATTTTTGAATGCAGTTATAGGAACCACAAGCACAGTGAATCATAAGCTTCATTAACTGCTTACCTCTTTAAAATCTGTTGCACCATCCAAACAGTTTTTCCACGTATCTGCAATACTAATAGGACAAAATATATATATATATATATATATATACACTTGATTTTAAAACTAAGATAAAGAAACAGCAGCAGCAGCACTTCCTATGCACTTGTGTGTTGTTCTGCACTTTAACCGGTTTCTACATTAACTGGTTTTTCTCATTCACTCACAGTTTTCAACGTCCGTATGAGTATCCTGACTTTAACAGGAGAGAAAACTGGGGCCCAGAGAGTTTGTGGAAGTTCTCTGGGGTCACACAGGAGTGAGTGCATAGTCCAAGTCCACACCGTTAGTTGCAATGTACACACTGCCTTATCCAAAGGCCAAACAGAGGCAGGTGCCCACACACCCATACACTGAAAGATGGGCACAGCTCTTTTTTAGTAGATCCTTTTAAAAGAAATCACACATGAGGGGGACTCCCCCTCTTCAGAGTACTCTCCCTTTGATACAATATATCTGTCGAGAAGCTTTCTCCACTGCTCAAAACAGTTTCTGAACTCTGTCTTTTAGTGCTTCTGCCAATTTTTGTTTCACCTTTGTTTCACTCTCCACTGCTCAAAACAGTTTCTGAACTTGTCAAATTTGATGTCTTTTAGCACTTCTGCCATTTTTTGTTTCACCTCTTCCACACCTACAAAATGTTTCCCTTTGAGGAATGTTTTCATTCAGGGAAACAAACAAAAAAACAGTCATTTGGGGCAAGATTATGTGAATAGGGAGGGTGGAGTGCAGGGGTCATGCTGTTTTTGGTTAAAAACTGCTAGACACTCAGGGCGGTGTGGACAGGTGTGCTTGGAAGCCTGAGGCGGAAGGATCGCCGAAGCCCAGCAGGTCGAGGCTGCCGTGGCCGGGAGCGGCCACTGCACTCCAGTCTGGGTGACAGAGTAAGACTCCAACTCAAAAAAAAAATAAATAAATAAAAAATAAAAATAAATCACCCATCATGAAATGGGCAAATGTGTTAAAAGAATCTCCAAAAAAATATTTACTTAAGTTGAACACAGCCTCTCACAACAAAGCTAGCTGGGACACTGATGCCAATGAGTTCCTAGAACACTTACTTAGCAGGAGCCTATACTACAAAGGGCCCACCCTCCAAAAAACAATTGGGTTTTTTTTTGGATTCTCCTTGTAGATATGTGCAGAGTTCAGAAAAAGAATGGAAAGACACAGAACAAAAGATTAACAACAATTAATATCTCAGTGTGGTGAGATTCCAAGTGCATTTATTTCCTTATTTATATTTTCTGATTTGGGGAGGGTAAGAAAATATTACTTTTATAAGTTTATTTTTATTTTATTTTATTTTTTTGAGGCTGTGTCTCACTCTGTCACCCAGGCTGGAGTGCAGTGGCACGCTCATGGCCACCGCAGCCTTAACCTGCTGGGCTCAGGTGATCTTTCCACCTCAGCCTTCCAAGTCATTGGCACTACCATGCGCGCTACCATATCCAGCTTATCTTTTGATTTGTTGTAGAGACGAAGTATCGCCAAGTTGCCCAGGCTGGTCTCGAACTTCTGAGCTTAGGCAATCCTCTCGCCTTGGCCTCCCCAAAGTGCTGGGATTACAGGCTTGAGCCACCACGCCTGGCCTTACTTTTATACTTTTAACAGTAAAGCCACTTAAATGCACAGAGGAAGTAATAATAGAAAAATTAAGAAGAATAATAAAATGTTGAAAACAGTCTAAATTCCCAAGAATAGAAGAAAAAAGTTGAAATAAATTATGGCATACATTAGAATGTGACATAATAGTTTTTAAAGTCGCTGTTTTGAAGAATCTCTAATAATATGGGAAAAACTTCAAGACCTAATATTAGAGGCTACAAAAGGCAGGACAAAAAGTTGTATTTAAGATATATTATCATATTAATACACACACATATATATATATGTCTAGAAAAAGCCTGAACGGAATAGATGTGACTCTGAGCAATTGTTTTTACATTTATTTACATTTTTGTTTATATTTTGTGCTTTGAAACAAACATATTGCACACATATAGTAAGAAAGTGTTAAAAACGACAAGTGAAGCATTTATATCAAACCTGTTGAACATTCTATCTGCATTATCAAATCTTCCATTTTGTAGGCACAGCATGTACTCTGGTGCTAGAGGGGGAAAAAATCAGAGTTAAGTCAGATCATAGAATCATTTAAGAATCCAAGTGAAATAAAATTTAATTGGAGGGTAAGGATAAAGAATCTTACCAATCCTGACAAGATAAAAGAGCACATAGCTTGGGGACGAGTAGTGACTTCCATACATGAACTTTGGCTCAGGCATTTCCTGGTAGCGCGTCTACAATATAGAAAACAAATTCGTGCTAAGTGTTGGCTGTGAAATAATAACTGACTCACGTAGTAAAAGCCAAGAAGAAATCATAGCATGGATACACTACATTTCTTAGTTTCTCTCCTAGATAAGAAAAGAAGATAAGAGGGGAGGAAAGCTTGTAACCAAACAGCATTCCTGAGACAAGTATTCTGTTTGTCTTGGTTCAAGGGGAACACCACTGGGGCTAGGTGAAACTTAACTGATTGTACGCATCTGTTGTGCAATTTACCACAGAACACCTTCACAGAAATAATTCAGTAAACCTTTAAAGAAGTGTCCCGCCTACTTCCTGAATTGTAGACAAGAGATGCAAATGGCAAGCAGCTAAATTCACGGTGGGGAAAAAAGTAAGAAACATGACGTGGGGTCACTGAGTCACTCGTGGTGCATCTCCCCTGAGTCTTGGGGAAATGTGTTTCCTGACTATAAAAACCATAGGCCACGGTTCCTGATGTTGCTTAGAAACCAAGAATCCCTAAGTCCACATACCAGCAGTCTCTCCAGTCGTTCCTTATTTAGGGCCCCAACTGGCTTCCTGAGGTCTCGGAAGGTCCCTGGATTTAACAAATCTGTAAACATAAATCAATACATAATTTCAGCTTATACCAAGTACCATTATACTCCCGAATTTATCCAACGCACACACATTCACTTCTAAAAAATAAAGTTTTCGGGTTGGTCCAGGTGCAGTGGTGTTTACAACTAATCGATCACAAGTAGTAGTAGATTTCTTTGTTCCTTCTCTACTCACACTGTTTCACTTGGCTGACTTTTAAAATAAATAAAAATAGAGTTTTAAAAAACTGAGGCCCATGAGAATTATAATATTTCTGTTAGCTATTTATATAGCTATAAAGAAAAGGTTAGGACTTTTTGAGATTTATTTTATATTTTAATTTTTTTTTTGAGTTGGAGTCTTACTCTGCCGCCCAGACTGGAGTGCAGTAGCCGCTCCCGGCCACCGCAGCCTCGACCTGCTGGACTCTGGCGATCCTTCCGCCTTAGCCTTCCAAGTAGCTGGAACTACAGGTGCGCGCTACCACGCCCGGCTAATTTTTGATTTATTGTGGAGATGAGGTCTCGCCAAGTTGCCCAGATGGGTCTCGAACCCACGGGCTCAGGCAATTCACTCACCTCAGCCTCCCAAAGCGCGGGATTACAGGCTGAGCCACCGAGCCCGGCCTTTTTGAGTTTTAAGTTAGCAACATCTACTTAAGAGTAATATCTCTAATTTGACAATGCCCTGGACACTGATTTTTTTCCTTAAAAAGACCTTCCGATTTTAAAAAAAGAAAAATCTATATTCCAAGTAAAACAAACAATAAATAAAATTTAAAAGTCATTATTCCTCTATGAATATTTACTTTCTAAGTTTGAATTATAGTGAATATTATCATTCTATGATAATAGCATAATTTGAGAACTGGGAACCTAAATATTATCAAAGAAAGAAATTCTCATAGTTTTAGAAAATCTATCTCTTTCAAGTACAAGAGTTCAATTTAATGAATTGTCAAAGGGAAAAAAACTTCACAATATATAATTTTAAAATATTACAAAACAAAGTTAAGATATGATCACATTTTTACTCAAATAACTTGAAGGAGCAAGACAGAAGTAGATGTACCTCAAAGTTAAAATGGTAATATCACAGTAGTATAATCATGGATAATTTTTATTTCATTCTTTGATTATTTCAGTACTTTCCATACAGTCTGTGATGAATAGTTTTCTTTTGGTAATCACAGTTTGTAATGTAATTTGTATGATAATATGATAAGCTGAGTCGCAATTTTCAAAATGAGAAACAAATATCTCAAAACATGGTCCTTAAGGTAACATGATTGCAACGATGCCCATTTTCTCTGTGTGTGTCCTTCAAGAAATATCGTAGAGAAAACATACATAAAACACGTATATAATTTACATAACACTTATATGGTATCTTTGAATGGAAACTGGAAATCTTTAGCAGTAAAACTGAAGTGGGTTCTAATTTGTTCAAATAGCATATCGTGATTCTAAAATAGAACTTAGGCTCTCCTTTAAAAATAAGAGGACCATTCCCAACTCAGCTTTGTCAGACTTCCACACATGGCATTTACCTAATTCTGAGCTGGAGTAATCATTTATTATCCATGGAAACACAGGGTACTGGGAGAGGTCATTGCAGCTGCGGTCGGCCAGGTTGTTGAGGTGCAGGAGATACTGGTAGTTGGACAGGTGCCCTCGCTGCCACTGCAGCATGTAGCTTTCGGCAGTGTGCTCCGCCACGTGGTGCTCTGGTGGAAGAGAGGACCACAGCGCCTAGCTGCTTAACTTAGCGAAATTGTGGCTACTTTTAACTTAGCATGCAAAAGCGACACAGTTAACATGGAGACACTTCCATTTTAGATACATTTTAAGAAAAAACAAACCAGGCTGTTGACTGGTTTGTTTGCTATGTTAGTGTACCATGAAACTATTTAAGAGATAGAATGAGGTACATCTTCCCTTAGAAATGAAATTTTCCCTCAAGGAGGAATAGTTTGCTTTCAATAAGGATTATACTTTATTGTAGGTTTATAGTTAATACTTTTTTTTTTTTTTTTTTTTTAGAAAGCAGGATTTATTAAGAGGACAGAAAAGCTCCCACAGTGGGAGGGGACCCAAGGAGGTTGCCCTATAGTTAATACTTTTATTTTTCTTTATATTTTCAACTATTCAAGTTAATTTAATGCACGAGTATAGTGCTGGTACATGTTTACTTTTATCTCCTGTGTCCTGATATTTTAAATGTTATTTTTTAATTATGACACAACACAAAAATCTCAACTTTCATGCTGAGTCCTAAAATCTCAAGTCAAAAACGTTGCCATGAAGCTGAGAGTTCTTACTGAGTTCTTACTGAGTAGTTGTTCAGTTAGGCATGAATAACTCTAAGATTAGGGAGGCGAAATTATTAAATATATTGAACTATTATCCTTCCCCCCAAAGTATGATTTAACCTAAATAAATATAAAAGTGCTGGGCTCGGTGGCTCAGCCTGTAATCCTGCACCTTTGGGAGGCTGAGGTGAGTGGATTGCCTGAGCCCGTGGGTTCGAGACCCACCTGGGCAGCGAGACCTCATCTCTACAATAAATAAAAAAATCAGCTGGGTGTGGTAGCGCACGCCTGTAATTCTGGCTACTTGGAAGGCTGAGGCAGAAGGATTGCCGGAGCCCAGCAGGTCGAGGCTGCGGTGGCTGGGAGCGGCCACTGCACTCCAGTCTGGGCGACAGAGTGAGACTCCAACTCAAAAAAAAATAATAATAAATAAATATAAAAGTATAGAGAAAATATATACATTTATAGGGTAATAGATAATATTCATACAGTAAATAACAAAGAATTCTTCCAAAAGCACTGAATTTTAAATACATTTACAAAACCATGGCCATTTGTGAAGGCTTATTTTCTTTAATTTTTATGAAATCAAAATAAAATATTCGTTTGCTTTTTTTTCAGATCTAGAGGAGGTATACTATTGCTAATTTGTCAATGACTACATGATATTTATGCATGTGGTGACTAAAGAAAAAAATAAATAAACTGCTAAAGAGGAAAAATGGTATTTGGCAGGGGAACCAATTTTCCAGCTGGAAGAATCAGAGAGGTCCCCCCAGAAATAACTCAGAAAAAATGGGATCACATATAACATGCACTAAGGAGACTTTCTTTTCAGAGTGTAAAATGAATCACCTGTCTACAAGAGGCTTTTCTATTTTGTTCAGAAAATTCTGCTTTCAATTTTTTACTGGCTGTATCAAGCAACTTAACTCTTACATTGATTCAATATCCTTATTGAAATTTTTACCAAATTTCTTCTCCAGTCAACTACTATGAAAGGGCTTCAAAAATCGAACCACTTTCCTCCTCATTTTCTACTCTTGAAACCTCTTAGAAAAGGTACAAACAATCTTAGAAGTAAACTCAGTAAAAACTCACAGCTTCATGGCAGTTTTTGACTTGAGATTTTAGGACTCACCATGAGAGTTGAGATGTCTGTGTTAATTTTGTCATAATTAAAAAATAACATTTAAGATATCAGGAGACAGAGATAAAAGTAAACATGTACCAGAGCTATACTTATGCATTAAATAAACTTAAATAGTTTAATGTATAAAGAAAAATAAAAGTATTAACTATAGAGCAAACTCCTTGGGTCTCCTCCCACTGTGGGAGCTTTTCTGTCCTCTTAAATAATCCTGCTTTCTAAGAAAAATATATATATATTAACTATAAACCTACAGTAAAGTATAATTCCTACTGAAAGCAAACTATTCCTCCTTGAGGGAAAACTTCATTTCTTTTTTTTTTTTTTTTTTAATTGGAGTCTCACTCCATTGCCCAGACTGGAGTGCAGTGGCCGCTCCCGGCCACTGCAGCCTCGACCTGCTGGGCCCCTGCGATCCTTCCGCCTCAGCCTTCCAAGTAGCTGGAACTACAGGCGCGCCCTACCATGCCCGGCTGATTTTTGATTTATTGTGGAGATGAGGTCTTGCTTGCCCAGGCGGGTCTCGAACCCAGGCAATCCACTCACCTCAGCCTCCCAAAGGCGTGGGATTACAGGCTGAGCCACCGAGCCCGGCTGAAAACTTCATTTCTAAGGGAAGATGTACCTCATTGTATCTCATAAATAGTTTCATGGTATACTAACATAGCAAATACAATTAAGATGGTATTAATCAAATCCCAACATCCATTTAAGAAAATCATTCCATTCTATTCATCTGGAAATTCTGTAAGAATAATTTAATTTAGCTATGCAACTTAATAAAAAGTTTATGCTTGAAAAGAAAAACATAGGTGTTCTCTCTGATATAGGCGGGACATTCACATTTTCCATGAAAGATTGCAGAAACGGGGTTAATTAAAAGCAAATTCTCCATACTCCATACTATATTTACATAGAATGTTCACCTGTTCCTTTTGCATTGTTTTTCAGCTCTGGGATTAAGACCACTATCAATGATCACAAATGTGTGACTAGATAACATACAGTCTCACATTAAGAAACTGAGTCTTGGTTTCCAAACACTAAGATATACTAAATATAGAAAATATTTGAGTGGATTCTTCATAATCCATTCCATTTGAAAGTAGTAAACAAATACTTATTATAAAATATTACCAAAGGAATTTATTATAAAATATTATCAAAGGAATTTATATTTCCTGTAGTTTTAAAAAATGATTTTGGCAATTATAGTTAATGATGAGAATAAATAAGAAGAACCACAAAGAGACAATTCTAGATACAGCATTTTCGTCTCTTATTTCCTATCCCGGTTCCTAAGTAGTTTAACTAACTTCATATGAATAGATAACAATGAAGGGTGAGCACCAAACCTAGATATGTTGCAATATAAAAATAGAGATCATCTCTGTCTTGAGGTTCATAGAACTTTAAGTAGATGTCAGAACATAGATCATCTTCTGTACAAAATACTTCCAAACCCTATAAAATCAGAAAGAAAAGAATAAAACAAATAGTATTGTATCATTCTTGCAATTCCAGTATAAGCATATAATTTTAAAAGCCTTCAATTAAGCATCTGTATTTTTTATTTTTAGATCTTGTTTTCATATTTTCCATGCATAAATTTGATTTGGTGAGATACAGAGATACATATACAGAGAGATCTAGGTACATATATATGCATATGTTGTGCTCATACAATTTTGGAGAACAAGACATATGTCAGCTAAACTTTGTAAAATCCCATTTTGTGTTGAATAACTGTATTGATAATAGCTTTTGTGAATTTACTATGTTGAAAGTCCAGATTAGCTGATCCATATATTCATATGTCTTCTGCGAACAAATATGTTTAGCTTTCTTTTACAAATTAAATAATTATGTAATAAATTGACAACTGAATAACTATTCAATTAATAAACTGCAGTTATTCTTAAGAATATTGTACTGGTAAGGCTGAGACAGCACAGAAACAGACAAAGAATGAAAGCCCAGAGTTGCCCCTGGTTCCAACATAGGTTTTCACCACGTACTAGCTAGGGGACTTAGGAAGTTAACTCCTAAGACTTTATCTGTAGAATACGGGATCATCTACCTCACAGGGATGGTAATGGCAAATAAATGAAATATGTTATAGTAATTGCCTGGTACATAGAAGACATTTAATCAGTGTTACTTTCTTCTCTTTTTCGGACTGTACCTCTATACCCAAAGGAGGAGATTTGTTTTATAGTATCTGTTTCCCTGATCCTCTATTAGCATGAAAATGGAGAGACTGCCTTTTAAGTAAAATAGACAACAAAAGAGTTAAAGCTCACAAATCAAAACACAAAAATGAGATAGTGAGAATTTCATAATGTTTTTGTAATGCCGAGTTACTGGTTAAACTTCAAAGGAGAAAAACTGAATTTACAGTGCCGTCAAATTAAAACACGCTGGAGTCACACTTTCTGTAGGGATCCGTTAATGAAGTAAGTATATCAGACAGTCACAAGTATGGTCACAAGCTGATTCAGGGAACGGTGAGAACTGTCCATATAATTATAAGTGGTTATTTTGTCCATTTCTCTTTCACCAGCTCAAAGGCAGAATTAATGCAAATTAACTGTAAATGCACTGCAGTTCCACTGAGATTTAGTTTTGTAATATCTTCTCAATTTTGCTTTGAGAATTAGCTGCTGTGAACAGTGGTGGTAAGAAGCACTGGATTGGTTCTGCATTGATTATTTTAGCTGAGCCCAGAATCTCTGAGAATGCAGGAGTGAAAACCTCAAGGATATCCTAGCTTGTTCTTGGAGTCAAGAACGTTTTCACAACAGAAACTCTTCTTGACATAAAGGAGTCATCAATTTCTAGCTACTCCAAAATACAGCAAGAATCAGAGTCAATCAGTACAATACACTTGTAATTTTCAGACATGCCCTAGGTATTTGCATGTCAATAAACTACTGGCTAAACTGGAGGTGTGACAATCATCCACCTAGCACTGGAATTCCACGAGAACTCACCAGAGGCATGAGGCCGTGCCTCCTTTTGTAAATGCGGCGGACATCTTGAAGTGTTATCTGGACCACAGGTTTCTTTAAAAAGAGAAAGACAATCTCAAACATCTGCATTCTGACACAGTTAGAAGTTGTTTAATATCAGAAAGAGAAAAAAAATGACCAAATCTTGCCTTCCTGATGAACAACTGAAAAGAGAGATCTTGAAGCAAGCGTATCTGGTCTCCCATTCTGCTCTGTCACTTGTCACTAGCTTTACGACCTTGGACAAGTCTCTCTGTCCCCACTCAACACTTCGAAAATGATAATGTAATTATCTATTTTTCAGGTTATGACAAGATTGTGAGGTGATAAGGAATATTAAAGGATTAGTATAGATAACCTCCCAGGGATTTTGCTATTGTTTTTTGTGGACCAACGGTTTGCTTAGTACTGGCATGCATCTTTTTTTAGAATACTTTTATCTCCTTAAAGTTTACAGTATATTAAGGCTGGGTGTGGTGGCTCATGCCTGTAATCGCAGCACTTTGGGGAGCAGAGGGGAGAATATCTCTTGAGACCAGGAGTTCGAGATCCCAGCCTGGGCAACACAGTGAGATCCCCAGCTTTAAAACAATAAAAGAGGCCAGGCGGGGTGGCTCAAGCCTGTAATCCCAGCACTTTGGGAGACCAAGCTGAGGGGATTGCCTGAGATCACGGGTTTGAGATCTCAGCCAGCCTGGGAAACTTGGCGAGACCCCATCTCTACAATAAAATTTTTAAAAAAATCAGCAGGGCGTGGTAGCGCATGCCTATAGTTCCAAGCTACTTGGAAGGCTGAGGCAGAAGGATCACCTGAGCCCAGCAGGTCAGTGCTGGGGTGGGCACGAACATGCCACTGCACTCCAGCCTGGGTGATGGAGTGAGACTCCAACTCAAAAAAATAAATAACGTAGCCAGTGATGGCTACGTAGTCATCACAATTGGGAGATCTAAATTTCCACATTAGTGGAGGTAGTGATGCCTGTAGTCCCAGATCACTTGTGAGGCTGGGACATGAGGGTCACTTGAGTCCAGGAGGTGAAGGCTGCAGTGAGCTGTGATTGCGCCACTGTATGCAGGCTTGGGCAACAGAGGGAATCCCTGTCTCAAAACAAAACAAAACAAAACTATAGTGTATTTAAGGGCTCACAACTACAGTATAAAGCAGGGTCTCTAAACTTTTTCTTCTGTAATGAAGAAGAAAATGTTCTCACTTCTCTGGAATTTTAAAACACTAATGAACGAAGAGAAACAAGGTAAAAAAATAAGGCACTGAGATTGACTAAAGGCTGCACTTCCACAGTCCTCTTCCCACGTGGGAGGGTGAAAAGCCTGCTCTGACCACTTGTGCAGCTGTGGCAAGTTCCCTGAAGACCCTGAGTCAGGTTTGGGAACTACTGGTCAAGGACACTGGACCAAGAACTGAGAAGGAATAAGTGCTCACACTATGGACCCTGAAGGTATGGCACATACTCAGATGTATCTTTAAAAGTTTTTGACCCAAGTAATAGTAACGGTAATAGCCAAGCTGATTGATCACACCACTCAATGCCGGTCCAGCAATGTGCTGCCTGTCTCCTGCAGAACTTGGTGAGGGTGCCCCACCACCTAGTGGACAGAATCATTATGGCTTCATCTTTCACTCAGGAAAGTATGAGATGCTTTAGTGCCATGTCACTAGCCTGGAGAATTTCCAGGGGGTAGCTTTCTTCAGCAGGAAACACTTCTCTTTTTTCTTTTTTTAGAGACAATGTCTCACTATATTACCCAGGCTGGGCTCAAGAGAAAGCACTCTTCATTCTTTAAGCTGCCCTACCAAATGGCCCAACTGCATTACCAGGGTGTTTGTTAGGATTTCTGTTCTTTTAATGAACCACACTAAAAGAGGGCCAGATGCAGATAAGCAAAAATCTTTACAAGTATTAGTGCAAAAATCTGAGTTGATCTCCACTCTCTGACCTAGTAAGAGAAGACTTTCCAACACTGTAGCAGGAGCCCTCTGGCTGCCAGACACAGCCTCTCCATGTGCCCCACTGCTCTAGCTATGACAGGACCTGGTCACAGTGCTCCTTCAAGAAAAATTTAGATCTCCCAATTGTGTATATGATGAAGGAGAAGAAGAGATATCAACATGTGTGCATATAAACAAATATACAGGAAACATTCACTTGTTATTAATCATAGTATGTTTAGTTCCACTGGTCTCTTCCAGAAGTGCCTCTGAGTGGAGAGGTCTAAATCCAAATCTCTATGAACTCTTTACTGAAATCAGGAGGGGTGGGGCTTCTTTTCACAACACTGAGAGCAAGTACCTCCCAAAATGACTGAAAACACATTGGAGGAACTCAAACTCAGGAGACTGTGTATCGGGTTTACGTAAGGAGTCTGCAAAATACTCAGATGCTGGCAAGGGGGCAAGTGATCCTCACAAAATGTGAGGACACTGGGATTATGAAGCCACACTCAGGGAGAAAGAGCTTAAAGACGGAGGCAGCTCCCTCCCCACAGTCTACGCACCGGGTACCCGTTGAGAGGTTGAAAATACAGGTTTGTGTCCGTGATACACACGTGTCCAGGATTCGTCACTAGAGGTGTCACCATTTCTGCCTTACATTCCATGTGCAGTTTTTCAGAAACATTTTGGAATCTGAAAAGATGTTTTTCAGTAAAAGTAAAAATAAAATCAGAAATTGATCTGCTTTCTGGGTTTGCCTAGGGAGCTGCAGTGTTACTTTGCATGACAATTACCTAAACACTACATTTAGTATGAGAAAAATGGTCATATAAGTTGACTGCTTGGATAAAACTAACATTCTTTTAAATCGTACAACGAAAACTTAGTTGTTTTGTTTTTTTAAAGATGAGATTACGCACCACAGAAGCAAAGGTAGACAAATACATGATACCAAATAATCCTTTAGCTGAACTCTTATTTCTTCCCAAATAAAGTGGTCTTGAAAGTGTTCTTACATTAACTTAATTTTATATTTTTACGTCATTACGATCTATTTTTATAGTCCTATAAACCATCTTGGCATAGGTGGCATTTATTTCACACCGCAATTTGTAAGGCTTTGATGACATAATTACAATTACCTGAATGTCAGTTCCAAAGTATACTCTTTTGTGGATTTACTTCAGCAAAATTGAGCAAAGATGATCCCACCACCCACTTCTCTAAGATTTAGTCAAAAAACTTCATTGTCTTTCTGGTTTACTACTTAAAAATAATTCAGAGGGGAGAACAACCACATCATCAAAATTTCAAGGCTATTAATTAAATAGCTGAGTTAGAATAAATCTATTCATAAGTAACAGGACACAAACATACAAGGGCAGACTTCTACTTCAAGTTAGGACAGGAAGCTGTAGGAGACACTTGTAGTTCTCACCCTAACAACCAAAGTCAGCTGGGTAAGCAGTACAGTCCTCTTGGTTTTTAAAAAACCATCTGGAAAACTGAGAAGTCAAAGAAATCTAAATGAACATAGTTACACAAAGGAAAAAAGAGTTCAGTGGCAGGAAGAGGAGCAAACTATAATAAAAGGGGTAAGTACTGCAGGATGGAGAAAGAGTTTCAGGAAAACCGAAAGCCAGAGTCAGGACTAGAGAGCAAAGGAAGCTCCCCAGAGATGCAAAAATATAGACACCTAGACTGTAAAGCAAGAGCAAGCTCTCATGTTTCAGAAAGCTGGTGGCTCAGCTGTAAAGCACAAAGATATCTCCAGAATCCTTTAAGTGCTCACATTCCAAGTTCTGTTGAAGAGAAGCAGAGTTGTGGACAGTGATGTTTTGAATTAACCCACAGTTCAACCAAACTTTAATCCCACTCAAACACAGATATGATTGACAAAGTCCTCCAGCACAAGCAACCTGACAAAGTAAAGGGTGGGCATGACCACATCTCTAGATAAATATTTAGTTCATTCTCTACACTTCCTTCTAAAACAAACTGTTTGGTATATAATAAAAAGTTGCAATACATGAGAAGAAGCAGGGATACATGACCCATGCTCAAAGAGAAAAGACCTGTAGAAGATGAACAGATGTTGGCTCCATCAGAAGAAGACTTTAAGATAATTATAATAAACATGGTAAAGGTTCTAGAACAAAAGATGAACAATATATGAGATGAGATAGGAAATTTCAGCAGAGAAAAACCATGAAAACAAATTAAAAGGAAAATGTAAGAATAAAAATCTGATTATCAAAAATAATTAAACTGCCGGGCTCGGTGGCTCAGCCTGTAATCCTACGCCTTGGGAGGCTGAGGTGAGTGGATTGACTGAGCCCGTGGGTTCGCGACCCACCTGAGCAACTTGGTGAGACCTCATCTCTACAATAAATCAAAAAAATTAGCCGGGTGTGGTAGCACGCGCCTGTAGTTCCAGCTACTTGGCAGGCTGAGGCGGAAGGATCGCCGGAGCCCAGCAGGTCGAGGCTGCGGTGGCCAGGAGTGGTCACTGCACTCCAGTCTGAGCGACAGAGTGAGACTCCAACTCAAAAAAAAGAAAAAAATTAAACAATCTTAACACACACTGGATATAGTAGAGTAAAATTGAAAACAGGTCAATAAAAAGTTTCCTTTTCATTGAGAAAAAGATAATGAAAAATTATAGAACAGTGTACCTGAGATCTGAGAGAATATAGAAAACATACTAACATAAGTATATTCTGAGTTCCAGAAGAAAAGAAAGAAAAAAAGAAAATAGGACAGAAGAAATATTGAAGGAGAAAATGGCTGAAAACTGATGAAAGACATCAATTCACAGACTCAAGTTACTCTGAAACTCTTTGTGACGTAATAAAAAATATATTTATAAATATGGCAACAAATTTATAAATATAGAGATAAGCAAATATATCTCTACCCCTAGTTTTTGGCACAGAACTCCTAAAACCTTTGCAATTTTCTGAGCAATAGAGGTGCTAGGTGCATCTTATGTTATAATATTTGGTCTGCAGTCCTGGTTCTTGACACAGAGATTCTAATTCCTTGGAATTTTCTGGGTGATAGGAGCATCTTTTGTTCTAATGAGGAAACTCCTGGTGGGCTCCTGGCTGGGGCTCATCAGAAAGACTAAGCTGTGGTTAGAGGTTTGGAACTTTCCACCCCAAACTCCATCCCTGGGGAAGGTGAGAGAGGCCGCAGATTGAGTTAATAATTGATTATGTCTACATGACGAAGCCTCTATAAAAATTCCCAAACTACGAGGTTTGAAGAGCTTCTGAGTTGGTGAAAACATCTATGTGCCAGGAGGGTGGTGTACCCCAGCTCCATGGGGTAAGAAGTTCCTACACTCAAGACCCTTCTAGACCTCGTTTTATGTATCTACTCATCTGGCTGTTCACCTATATCCTTTATCACATCCCCTATTAATATAATAAACATAAGTAAGTGTATCCCTGAGTTCTATGAGCCATTCTAGAAAATGGTCAAAACCAGCTGGGCTCGGTGGTTCAGCCTGTAATCTCGCACCTTTGGGAGGCTGAGGTGAGTGGATTGCCTGAGCCCACGGGTTTGAGACCCGCCTGGGCAGCGAGACCTCATCTCTACAATAAATCAGAAAATCAGCTGGGCATGGTAGCACATGCCTATAATTCCGGCTACTCGGAAGGCTGAGGCGGAAGGATCGCCAGAGCCCAGCAGGTCGAGGCTGCGATGGCCGGGAGCGGCCGCTGCACTCCAATCTGGGTGACCGAGTGAGATTCCAACTCCAAAAAAATTTAAAAAAAAAGAAAATGATCAAAACCAAGGAGGAGGTTGTGGGACAATGGGATAAAAATCTTTAAAGTGGTGAAAACTGTCAACCTAGAATTCTATATCTTAAAGATACCTTTCAAAAATGAAGATGAAATAAAGATCCTATTAGACAGACAAAGTTAAGAGAATTAATCTCTAACAGACCTGCATTATAAGAAATGCTACAGAAAGCATTTCAGACTAAAAAAAATGCTACCAGATGAAACACTAGATCTTCAGAAAGAAAAGAAGAGGGCTGAAAGCATAAACATTTAATATCTGAATAAATAGAAATGATTATTTTTAAGGCTCAGTGTGGTGGCTCATGCCTGTAATCCCAGCATTTTGGGAGGCTTGAGCCCAGGAGTCGAGACCAGCCTGGGCAACATAGCGAGGCTTTACCTCTACAAAAAATTTTTTTTTTTAAATTAACTGGGCGTGGCAGCATGCACCTGCAGTCCCAGCTACCGGGGAGGCTGAGGCAGAAGGATCACCTAAGCCCAGGAGGTCAAGGCTACAGTGAGCCATGATCATGCCACTGCACTCCACTCTGGGTGGCAGAGTGAAATCCTGACTCAAGAAAAAAAAGAAAGAAAGAAAGAAAGAAAGAAAAGAATTGTTTTTTGTGTATTAAATTTATAAACAAACACATTTGTATGGTTATAAATTTGTTTAAAAAACCATTGATTTTTTTAAAGCATAAATAAGAATACTGCATCTTATGGTACATACAGAAATTAAATATAAGAGAAGATCACAATGGTCAGGAAAGGCTAAATGGAAATACACTGGAATAAAGTTCTTGCATTGTTGTAAAGGAGCACAACATCATTTTATTTTATACACTGTGGTATAAGATACATAATGTAATCTCTAGAGTGACCATTAAAAATAATACAAAGTAGAACACCTAAAAATCAACAGAAGCCGGGCTCGGTGGCTCAGCCTGTAATCCCGTGCCTTTGGGAGGCTGAGGTGAGTAAGTTGCCTGAGCCCACGGGTTCGAGACCCGCCTGGGCAGCCGAGACCTCATCTCTACAATAAATCAAAAAAATCAGTTGGGCGTGGTAGCGCATGCCTATAATTCCGGCTACTCGGAAGGCTGAGGCGGAAGGATTGCCAGAGCCCAGCAGGTTGAGGCTGCGGTGGCCGGGAGCGGCCACTACACTCCAGTCTGGGCGACAGAGTGAGACTCCAACTCAAAAAAAAAAAAAAAAAATCAACAGATCAGATAAAATGAAGTACTGGAAAATATTAGATTTACCCAAAAGAAAGCAGGAAAGGAAGAATAAAAAAACAGAGAATAAACAAGACGTTAAGAAACAAATACAGGGCCAGGCTTGGTGGCTCAGCCTGTAATCCCAGCACTTTGGGAGGCTGAGGCGAGTATATTGCCTGAGCCCGCTGGTTCGAGACCAGTCAGGGCAACTTGTCGAGATCTCGTCTCTGCAATAAATCAAAATATTAGCTGGGCACGGTGGTGCCTACCTATAGTTCTGGCTACTTGGAAGGCTGAGGCGGAAGGATCGCTGGAGCCGGAGCCCAGCAGATTGACACTGGGGTGGCCATGAGTATGTCACTGCACTCCAGCCTGGACGGTGGAGTGAGACTTCAACTCAAAAGAAAAAAAAAAAGAAAAGAAAAGAAACAAATACAGTCATGTACCATGGAATGCATTTTGGTCAAGGACATTGCATTTACTATGATGGTCCCATTAGATTATAATACTGTATTTTTACAGTATCCTTTTCATGTTTAGATACACAAATAATTACCACTGTATAACAACTGCCTACAGTATTCAGCTGAGTATCCTTTATAAGAAATACTTGAGACTAGAAGTGTTTCTGTGTTATACCAATTGAGCGTTCCCAATCTGAAAATGAAATCCAAAAGGCTCCAAT